GAAGAGAGAGAAGAGAGAGAAGAGAGAGAAGAGAGAGAAGAGAGAGAAGAGAGAGAGAGAGAGAGAAAAAGGAGAAGAGAGAGAAGAGAGAGAGAGAGAGAGAGAGAGAGAGAGAAAAAAGAGAAGAGAGAGAAGAGAGAGAGAGAAAAGAGAGAGACAGAGGTGCTCCCAGCTACGACACAAGCGTCCAGGGACACACCAAACAGGAAAAGAGGGGCTCCCAGCTATGACGCAAGCCCCAGACAAAAAAGAAAGAAAGAGAGGGAGAAATCTAAGGTCCCGACAGACTCCGAGTCTTGAACAAGCTTCGGCCGCTGCGGCCACGTACGCCGTGCCAAAATGGCTGGCAGCTTTGACCGCTACGGTCACGTAACGGCATAAGCCAGCTTGGGATTCAAGAAATCGACAAAATCCGAGTTCTCTCGGCCTAGGCCACCTACGCTCGCTGCGAGCTGTCCGGGCAGGGCACCCGTTCGACGGGTCCACAGGGGCCACTCTTCGGGGCTCTCATTAGGAGAGACACACATATGATTATGCGTACTGACTGGACAGCGGCGCCACACGCCAGCCTAAGAAACCAAATCCTGAAAAAGCCAGGTGAGGGGGCCTGAGCGCCTTTAGTTAAAGGCCAAAGTTCCAAAGCCACGAAGCGACGAACAGGTCGAAGTGACGGCGGTCGCTCTTGGCTGCAGAGTGCATTAGCCCTTTACGGAAACTTAAAAATTGATGCAGGTACCTCCAGCTGGCCAAACTGAATATCCCATTTCACTGGCAGCTTCGCTGGACACAGTCCCAGTGAAGTGCTGTGTCCCCCTGCCAACAAACAAGGTAAAAAGCCAGGCAGAACATTCCAAAAGGATCCCTGTGACTTCAAGGGTCACACACACCAACAGCCGAGCAGCACAGGAACGTGTTTTAATCAATTTTGTTTTGTCAGGATGGCAACTTGGATTCCAAGCACGAAGGCACCGTTCTTCTCAGATGCCTGGCGTTTCTTGAGTTGCTCACTTTCAGCTCAATTCCCGACGTCCAAACATTGACACTTAGTTTGATGGGGTGCCCATCAGAAGTCGTTTGTTTTGCTCGTTCGATGTGTGCAGGTCGCCAAAATCTTTGCGATAGGCTGCCCACATGTGAGCAGAAAAACAATGTTTGATAGTTGCCTGAGGACATGGCTGGAGCTACGATGCTGCCCAGGTCACTGATGTGGGGATTGTTGTCGTAGGTCTTAGGCAAAAGACTGGAGAGTCGCATAGAGTCATAGAGTCTCTGTTGAGCAAGTATACGCTTGAAAACAGCGTGTGACAGGATGGTGCATGGAACTTCGAAAGTACACGATATTTATTTGAGTTCCAAGTGCTTCTTCGAATGACCGTGTCTGTGGTCATTCTTTTGCAGTCATCGTCTGGTCACATTTCCACTCGTCCCGTCCAGGTCTACCGCATGGCACCAGTGTATCTTCGGGCAGCTTCCCAGGCAGGTTTGAATGGAAAAACATGTCAGACCTTGAGGAGATAAGCATCGGACCATTAGCAGAGATGTCCTGACTCTGAGTGTTTCTGATGTCCAGTCACCCAGACGTACTTTTGACATCATTTTTTTTGACGAAACATGGTAACCCGCACGTCTTGACAGGCTACCTCTTTACCTGTGGCTTGGGCTGTCGCCAAGGACAGCTTGAGTGCCCAGTCAGAGCTAAGCTGCAACTTGTGGCGGCCAGAATATGCATCACTCCAAAGTGCACGGTCGGGTGAGGGTGCTTTTTGCAGCAGCTACTAAAATCAGCTTGTATAGGCATATGCCTTATAAAGGCATGCTGTTTTACATTGAATGACAAGGGGGGGCTTCCTTGCAGTCTGCGGTTGCTACAACGAAGTGGGCATGACTCCTGCATTTGGCTGTAGATATCACGATGGGCAGGGCTGGTATGGTCCTGCTTTGCTAAGACGCGACTGGCATGCTGGTAATTCCATGGAGATTCATGTTTTCCAGATCAAAGATATTGCACGCATATCGCATCATTTTGAGACCACAGAAAGCATGTGTTGACAAGAAACCAATGTCAGCTGCATATTGCAAAGTGTATCACCACCAAACAGCAACTTTAGAAGGGTATCAGGGTATTGCTTATGTTGCTGCTGGTTGTGTCACTTGAAGGCACGCTCTTGCCTTGCACGTATCCATACCATGTTTGTTGAAATGCGCAGAGAACTACTGCAAGCCATTTTAGTTCATAGAGCTAGCGCAAGCACCCACCACAGCTCAATTCCAGTTGCAGACATTAGATGTGTTGATGTGTCCTGTGTGGGACAGTGACTTCTTTGCAGGATGGGCCCTTGGCAAGCGGCATGGATGCAACAGTTCGTTTTCATGTTCACAGCGGCATGGGAGATTTTTTCCAGCAAACATCACTCAAGCCGTGCCGCTGGTGGTAAAAGTGCCATCTGCCAGTTGCGGCCAAGGCAGTAGCTGTGGATCTGGCCTTTGCGGGCTCTTTTTGCGGCCGTCTGCAGATGAGGTGCAGTCTTAGATGCAGTCTGATGTCACCTTTTCAGCTTATCATTGGCTTTGGTTGAATCTTCGAGTTCTTAGATTTCATGCCACTACTTGCATTGAGAAACTCACATCTTCAGATGCAGGCGGCTTTGCTGGGCAAGTTGGCCAAGGACTCACATCATAGATATCAATGTGTATTTGTATACTGTAATTGTGTATGTATATATATATATGTCACGCACTGTATGTATATTTCTATAAATATGCAAGTCAACAGGACTAGAACAGATAACTGCAAGTTCTAGGAGCAGGTCAAAGTCTACAACACCCGCGTTCTGATTCATGGACGCCAAGATCGGGTCGAGGGTCGAGGCTTCTAGCCTTCACCCACCGATTAATACCACGGTTCTTTCCGTGGGTCAATGTGAACAAAAGGCTCAACAAGCAGATTCGGAATGGGAACAGTTCAGTGGTTCCTCATTGTGTGAAGAAGTCTGAAAGACACAGCCTCTCATACGTTTGGGATTATTTCGGCGTGTCAATATTTTGTATATATAGTCAAGGTGCACAAAGATGTACACAGTCTGCCTCTTTGCCTCCCCCACAGCCTAGCTTGCTTCATCAGTTTCTTCGAGGAGATGTCCCACACCTTGGGCTTTTCGAAGCAGGACGGCTTTCATCTGCAATCCATGCCGTTCCTTGTAGCATGAAGACACAGCCCACAAAAGCTGTTTGAGCGTGCCTGGGGTATGAGGGAACAACATGTTTGGCCTGTGGCTGTTCGTTGCATCGGAGCTTGGATTGGGATAGCATCCGACCACATATGGGTGCTCATGATGATGAATCTTGAAGCGAATGGATTCTATGTTCATCATCATCATCATCATCTTCTTCATCATCTTCTTCTTCTTCTTTTTCTTCTTCTTCCTCATGCTCTTCGGTCACGAAGATTCGCGTGGACCTCTGACGATGTCAGATCCCAGCTCCGCTTCACAACCCTGAAGGGTCTCAGGCAAGTGAGTTCAGCAGCTGTCCCAGCTTAAAAGAGTGCAAAGCATGGGTCCATTCGCGATGACAGCGACCCCTCACTAGATTAGACCTTTCTTCCTTTTCTTTGTTGCGTCTGCTAGCGATGACCTCCAACCTATTAGCGAGGGCCTCCAACCTAAAGCAAACTATGGTGCTCAAAACTCCAAACACAACTCTACTGTGAAATGAATGGCATGCACATGGCCTATTCTTGGCCGTGGCAGCGTGCTGGGACATGGACTCCTCAGCCAGGCAGGCAGTGGCAAAGCTTTGGATGTTTGATCAGCAAGGTCATGTCCATGGGATCCAGAGCCATAGGTGCAATGTCGTAGGATCACAGCGCATCGTCTCAGTGCTTGGCCAAAGTGACAGGATGTCATGATCTGATTCAAGATCCACCGGTCTGGCTCCTCGCAGGCCAGCCAGATCAGGCAAACCTTTTGCAAGCACTTCATTTGGTAGGTGGGCGAAAGATAGCCACCAAACCGTGCCCTCGAGCACCGCCGTGCAAGAGTGTCCTGATTCAGCTTCTGCCAAGAGACTGCAATCACTGTGTGTGGGACGTAGTCCAGCTCCAGCTTGTTGCTATAAGCTGGTCTGCAGACATTGGAGCTCCAGGTGACTTTCAATTTGGTATCTCAAGCCCTGGGAGTTGAAGGGGTCCGCTCGAAAGCTGCTGAGATCGACTCTGAGAACGTGGCCTCGAGGAAGAGCGGGATGACCATGGAAGGTATCCCGCACCAGCCGCGGTGCAGCGCGGACAATTTGCCTGAACAGCTCGCCCTTATCATCGTCATCATCATCATCATCATCATCATCGTCATCGTCATCGTCATCGCCATCGTCACCGTCACCGTCACCGTCACCGTCATCGTCATCGTCAACTTCATCGTCATCGTCATCGTCGTCCTCATCAACATTGTCATCGCCTCATCGTCATCGTCGTCCTCATCAACTTCGTCGTCACCATCATCATCATCATCATCGTCATCGTCATCATCATTGTCATCGTCATTGTCATCGTCGTCTTCATGGGGCACACCCAGCTGTAGCCTCCATCATCGAATGGGGCTGTGGATCCAAGGCTGGTGGCGCTGACAGATCCCAGCAGCTTTGGCAGTGTTGGGACGTGGATTTCCAGACCAACTCATTTTGCTTCAACCAAGTTTACTCTCCACATTATTCACATGGCAGTGGAGTTCACCACCTGTTTGTAGATAAGAATGGTCTTCCAGGGGCTTATTTTCCACGCCCATGATGATTTCAGGGACTGTACTTGATCTCTTTTCAGTTTGGATTCGCTTTGTTTGCCTTGGCCATGTCTGGCCGATCCAGTCCGAAACAGGGTTGCTTTTGAGGTGATCCTTTTGGCTCGAAGCGGATGCTGTCCTGGGTGCCTGGGATGGATATGGAGGGTGTGAAGATGTTGTGACAATTGCTTGCACTGTTGGTGCCACCGATAGCAAGACCTATGTAGGACAGGAAAGCATAGTAACAAGGGCTAGGTCATTTCAAGTCGGCCTCGACCAGTATTTTTCCGTCGCAGTTTTTCATCTTGATGGTCTTGTTCTTTTCTCAGGCTGTCCTCTTCTATTTCCTTGCGCCGCTTGGCCTTTCGTCGCCTTTTGTTTTGACCCGCCCGGAGCTGATTCTTTACAACGTCGATTCTTGGGGCTTTCAACTGGGTTCTTTTCCATGTTTGACATGTTTGGATGCCCGGTTCTGGCGGTTTCTTTGTGCAAGTTTCATCCAGTTTCCTTTTCCCAACAACGCAGGCTTCTGACGTTGCTAGCCTTCCAGCTGGAAGTGAGCTATGCGAAAAACAATGATTACGCCACTCGGCCATGCACCGATGTTTGTTCAGGATTCAAAACTGTTAGTGTCCGCGCGAGGTTGAGGTTTTTGAAATATTGAAACTCCTAAGCAACAAGTGACCTGTTAGTTGTCATAGTACACCCGTCGTTGTGTATTTGCTCAAGCTTTGCTGGGAACGCAGTTCTTTTTCTTCAGCTAAAGCGAAGACGTATCCCATGGACGTGTTCCGGGCGAAGTTCTCAGAAGGAGTGGTGGCCAAGTGGTCTGACCATGTCCAAGCTATGCTGCAGTCTTCAGATGACCCAACCGAGCTTCGTGACGCTCTCATGATGATGCTACAGTCTTCTGGTGAGCGCTACCAATTTGCCGTGAGCTTGATCCAAGAAGGTTGGGAGAAGACGATGGAAAAGAAGCAGAGCAGTTGGACCAACATGGGAGTTGTTGGGGCACTTATTTTAAGTGTCTTGTACTCAGCGATCAACCAACCTTTCCAGAAGTCAGCTGCAGTTGACCACTGGACCGATTTGAGGACACTTGGTGAAAAGATCTTAATTGTTTGTCTCTACCTGAGTGCGACCTTCGGACTGATCTCAGTCATTTTGTCAATCCTTCTTTTGGTCCACTTGATCTACTACGTGCGTGATGCTGATGACCTAGTTTACTTTGCTCTTCTTCACCGAGACAGCTTGGTGGACGTAAGCCTCATTGCCTGCCTCCTGTGCTGTGGAATTTCTATTCCAGTGTCAGCACTGGTTACCAATGAGGAGCCAGTTGCTTCTATCACACTGTTCTCAACTGCAGTTTTTTTGCTTTTGGTTCTAGCCTTTTATGTCCGTTCCTTATTTTGGCTCTCAAAGCGGGAGCGGCAAAAGTCGGCAGCCCCTGAAAAGCAAGCCTACCTAAGTCTTGTTACGACAGAGTACCAGAACTTGAGCAAAGACCAGCAGGGTCAGGATCAAGACCAGTCTGGGCAGGATCTAGACCAATCCAGGCGAGATCAAGAAGAGTCCAGTAGGGTGTGAGACCAAGTAGATTCAGTCTTGCTCCGAAACTGAGCAAGCAGGTTCTGACATTTGCAACAAAGATTTGCAAGATTTGTGGCAACTTGCATATAGTGCAAGGCCTCTTTGTGTCACCTGCAACGCTGCAAGACGCAAGCTGTTTGGCGACATGGCCCTGGCAAATGGAAGCAGTGAGCTGCCAAAACAAAAGTGTGGCGCAAGAAGAGTTTTTTTTCAGGGCAAGGAAGCCTAGCGTGATCGAGTTCCAAGCATCAAACCCTTCGGATTCGGTTTGTGCCCAATTCGTTTTCGGAACATCGCCTGGGCCCTGGGCCCTTCGGATTCGCTTCATCGGCTCGTTCAGTCAGCACTGAGTCACCGTTTGCCAGGAACCCTTGGCCACCAAGTCTCTGGACACTGACACGGAAGGGCATGGCTGACGGGACTGTGCGATCCTTTGCAAGCTTGCCGCAGCCAGAATTGGACATGCTCGAAGTTGTAACGTGATTTGCAAAAGGCAAGTGCGACACAACATATGAAACAATACGCTCCAAGCGACAAGCTGATGGTTCAAGCAAATCACAGGCCTGTGATTTGTTTGGGATCTTTTCTGCACTCAACTTCCCGCTTGTGGTCTTTCCACAGTGCTACCTGAGTGTGGCAAGTGAACATAATGAACCAATTGGACTGGCAAAGTTCCACTGCCAATTGGCCCAAAACTCAGAATGGCCTGAATTCTGAGCGAGACACCGCATGACACTTGCGAAGCTTCTGAAGGGCTTCTTTTGCCCCCCCGCACAACCGCGGCCGTACGGTGGAGCATGATGTTGAACACCTTCATGCTGCCACTCTCTTTTTGGTCAAAGTCCTCCACCGGGGACCCGCTCCAGAGATGTCAGCTACAGTTTTAAAGCGCTTTCTACTGCAGACGTTGGCGTATGATGGGACGAATTGCAGGGTGAGCGGCTGGCGATCAAGACGCCCGCGCAACAAGGCGCAACAAGCGCCCAAGAGTGAGAAAGACTGCATCGTTTGCTGCTAACTCGGCAGCGACGATGCACGAGCTGTGGCATTTTCACCAAAAAGTGGTGGATTTCTCGACAGTTCCAGGCAGAGCTGCTACATGACAAGTATTCAGACACCAGGTTGTTGGTGCCTGGTGCCTCACCACATGTTTTCTCAAGGGATGTCTGTTAGCGACCTCATTTCCTACGGCGCACCACATTTGACCTCAGACCTTGGCAGTTCAAGGCCAAAGAGCGCCTGGACTTCGAGGCCAAGATTGGCCGGGACCTGGCGCGGCTGTCGGGGTGCCCAGCGGGTGGTCGTTTCGCTTCGAGGCGTTCGAAAGAGACACGAATGTTGTTCGCAATTGGAAGAACAGTCAACAGTCAGGCTCAGTTATATAGACAGAGGAAGTTCTATGTTTTTCCCTCAGCTGGCAAGGACCTTGCGCGGCATATAGTGTGTGTTGCAGAAAATCCAGCTAACTATTTTACCCATTGATTTCAGCCATCAAGCATTCGTATGGACTCGATGTCTTCAGCTCAAGCTATCCGTCCTCGCTCGCCCTTCGTTCCCAGGGCCAAGTCCTCGCGACCGGGTCGAAGTTCCGTCTTTGACACGGTGGTGTCAGCCAGAGACCTACAGGGATAAGGGGCGCATCTTCGATTTGCGGCAAAAAGAGCCAAGGAATCCAAAGACATTGAGATTCACGGGGTCATGTTCCATTTGGCCTCCTGCGCGGGTGATGTTCTGTGCGGCACCGGTCTCCTGTTTTTTCGCAGCCAAGGCTCCACGGCCGGCGCTGGACGTTTGGTGCCTGCACCCGGAGGGTTTTACTTTCACAGATCAGAAGGAGTCTTCTGTAGTCTGTCTGTGATCTTTTGAAAGGTAATTGTTATTTATTCGAACTCGAAATCTGCGAGGCACCAGTCGGATCTGATTTCTTGGTGCCAGGCAAAGTAAGTAAAAATCTATTGACATACCCTTCAGCTGCCTCCACAGATGCCGGGAAGGTTCACTTCGCTCGCTGCGGTTCTTCAATGCAGCATGTTGCTGACAAGTTCATTTCAAACTGATTCTTACTTGACGAGTTCGGTTCTACAATGTATTGTGTTTGAAATGTGGTTCAACAACATTTTTCTGCCATGATACTGTTGCTGACATGATGCTGTAGATATTGAACACCTTACTCCAAGTTCATCGTTAACCGTTAGCCGCTCATGCAAGAAGCCCGAGTGCAAACCTGGGCTCATTCAGCCAAGGTCTGCACCTCCTCGGGGCTTCTGCTTGGGTGGTGTCCGGTGCCTAGAGATGACCAAGGCGTTTAGATATGACCAAGGCCGGAAGGTGGAATAACCAGGGAAGAATTCTGCTAAGGGTTGGCTGACTTTGGGAGATTGTCATTACTGAACTGCATTCTGAAATGCACCTTCTTCGGATCAAAAACACTTCTTCTGAGCTATCAACATCCAATGGGCTGAGCTGAAGCTTTCTTGACATGCACTGTCTCATTTCTATTTGAACAGCTCTATATCGCAGGAGCTGAGCTTGAACATGATGGAGATTCATTCCGCCGCTTTTTGAGAAGATTGATGCAGCAGTAGTGTTGCTAGCAGGTCAGGCTTCAGGCTTTTCAAGTTAAACTGATCAGGTTCCAAGGATGTGTTTCAGAAGCAAAGCAACTTTAGTTTAGAGTCAGAGTTGGCCAGTCATCCCCTTTTCTTGCGGCATGTCATGGCATCATGGTGTCGTTTGCGATGACGGATGGAGCTGCATGAGAGAGTGCCACCCGAAACTCTGCGGTGACACGATGGCCTCCAACCTAATAGCGATGGCCTCCAACCTAATAGCGATGGCCTCCATCCTAAGAGCGATGGCCTCCAGCGTGAAGCATTGGCTCTTGGTGTGACTACTATGACCATATAGGTTTTGGTCGGCCCGATACGGCCCGAAATGTGTGGTGTTTGCCTTTCTTGCGATGCAACGTTTCTTGCAATGTTTTCTGTGGTGTTTGCCTTTCTTGCCATACAGGTCAGACGAACGTGTTCAGGTTTGTGCCGGGTAAGTCCACTTAAGAGAGCTGGCGCCATTTGTGCCAGAAAAAGCGTTGGGGATATTGTGCAGCGTTGAAAACCAGAGCCAGTCCTCATGAGACTTGGGATTGGGATCCACTTGCAAGAAGCAACAACCATGAAGTCTTTCTAGGGGAGATAGGTGGATACAAACCCGGGGTGACTAAGGTGTGTGCACCATGCCCATTCAACTGCGACAGAGAGCGGATAGAGAGGCATCCATTTCACTCAATGTACAGTCAGGCAATGGCATGCTGCCTTGCAGTTGCTTTGCAGCGGAATAGCTTTGCGACAGAGGGCCATCCCGCCAATCGACTTGGGGGTGGAAGCAGAACAAGAAGCCCATGTACTTTCTGTGTTGCCCAAAGCAATCGGAATTGCTTGTTCTCGAAAGCGCTTTTGAAACGGGATGACATATGCTTTCAACGAGGAACCGCCGAAAATCCGCAAAGATCCAAGGAACGGTGGTGTGTGACCTATCGCGACTTCAAGGTCTTTGTTCAGGAGGTGCAAGCTTTGTGGTTCCAAGGGCAACTGGGTCCATCGGATCAATTACCGAAGGATGATGAGCACTGTGGTCCCAACCTTTACTTTGTCAATGAGCACTATGTGAAGCCAATCACATTGGAGGCGGGTGGCATGAGTTACGTCCCTGGGAGGCAACTAGACAGAGAGATACAGTAGCCCAGCAAGTCAAAGTTTTTGCTGCACTCCAACAGTAAGATACAGTAGCCCTTCATTTATTTTCTTCCATTGTTTCTTGTTTGCCCCTTATCCAGAGCGATTTTTACTGTACTTCTTTTTGGCAGTTCGAGGCTTTGATGAAGCATCCAGAAGGACTTCCTTGCCAAGTCTTCATCTCCCATGCTTGGGCTGAAGGGATCTTCGAGCTGGCCAATCTTTTGCGCCAGGCATGGCCACGGGGGCATGGGCTCCACAATTTGTGCTATGGCCGAAATGGTGAAAAGAACAATGGAACCAGGGCTGAACTGGCTGAAATGGCTGCTGAGAACAGGCTTCTTTCCACTGAACAGCAGATATAGAAATCGACGAAAGCGACCTTGTCTGGTTATAGGGAAGAGATTTGGAAGCGTTGTGATGGTTGTTCAGCCAAGCAAAGTGAGATTAAGGGACGGGGTTTTCTTTGGTGGGGGAGACGGTGGGTTTTTTTCTACTGTTGGTTCATTGAGGGGGTAAAGTCATGCCGGGAACACAAGCACATCTAGCATCATTTGATCAGGTCACCCATCATCATTTTTTGCCGGAAGCGTTGCGAAGGGTTCTTCTTGTAGAAAGAGTTTGTGTTACAGATCAGCATTATATATATAATACATTTGAGACTGCATTTGTAGGTATGCCACAAGTACATTTGCAGCTTGCAGGTGTGGTTTTAGGAATTGCTTTGGTGCTGGGATCTTGCTTCAGTGAATTGGTGGGGACCTTGCTTGAGTGCGCATACCTGCAAAATATAGCTAGTAGTGCAGTGATATCTTGCAAATGTAACTTTACGCTGGGATCTTGCTTCAGCCTGCAGAATATCTTATCTAACTTTCGCTGGGGTCTTGCTCCAGTAGTACATGGATATGGCAAATCCTATATATATATATACACACTAACAACTAACATGTAGTGAATCATATCTGAGTTCGCGCGTGCGTGACGCATCTCGGCCTTTGTATCAGTTCTTAGTCAGCGGCCTGGCCAGACAGGGCTTGCGAAGCGTGACCCTCTGCGGAGATCGAGAGCGTTAGTGCAAATCTAGTGCGGCCAAAAATGGCAACCGTGTAATGCAGAAGTGCTATGGGCAGCACCTTCTGGGAGCTGGCCTGAGAACTCGCTACTGGGCAGCGGGATGATTGGCGGCTTGGCGTTGCATTGTTGCACTGAGTCTCTGCCTCACGGTGTGGCGAAGGTACATCTGTAATGTCGCTGTGCCATGCGGTTTTGCGAGGCCTCGGTGTTTGCGTGGCTCTGAGCCATTGGGAAACGAAAAGCATGTGTGTGTGTGTATGTGCAAGCGCGTGTGGGATGATTGGCCGTGTCCACAAGGTTTGGTGTTACATTGTTGTGTTTAGTGAGTGTGGCGAAATTACGTCGACTACTGTAATCGTTTCTGAGTGCCAGGTACACCTATGCCATTGACCTCTCCACAGCAAGTCTCAAAAAAGGTGTTCTTGACAGACCTTCCTATGATGTATACCTATAAATACTGGTGCGTTTGTATTACCACGCTCCCGGCCGTGCGTTGTCTAGTTCTCTATTTTGATCAAGTGTGTTGTGACCTCGTGCCGCGGGAACCGGGTTTTCGGAAACCCAACGACCTTGACATTCACGACGCGCAGATGTCCTGAGGTACTTATGCCTTTTGGCCAACCCGCAAAACAGCCTCTTCACTTGGTTAGAGAACCGACCGCTGCTGGAGACACCTTTTGCAAAAGCTTTGCAAGACGCTTCTCACGTGCTGATCATTCCCAACAAGCAAATCAGCATTTACTCTCGCTTGTGGTGTGTGTACGAAGCATACTTAGGAGCTTCGACAGATTGCACTGATTCCACATGGTTTCCGCCAATTGACTTGAACGGGTGTGTGGAAGGCTTGAACACTGACCCTGAAGGAACTCAATTTCAGAAGACTTGCTCTTTGCCTACAAAGCCACCTCCATTGGTCTTGCTTAAGGCGATATGGCCCACCGTCATCATGCCCTGCTGCGCCTTGGTTTACCAACCAACATCCTGAACGAAACATGAAACAATTGTTTTTGCAACTGTTTCAACACACGAATCAACGTTGGGCATTTGGATGACCCCCACTGCGCCCCTGCAGAAATCCCGCAGATGTTGGGGGCAACACGCGCTAAAGCGCCCAACGGAATGTTCCATCTGTGGGTCGGTGGTTGATCCAGAGATCCCGTCGACATCGTTGCTTCGTCTGAGGTTTTGGTCTTCTTTTGGGCTGTTTGTCCACAGTTCTGTCTTCTTTGCCTCTCAAGAAGAACTTTGAGCAACACATTGAAATTGGGATGGTGCCTCAATTGCACGAACGGCGCAAAACTGTTCTAATTGAAGTGACAACCCGGTGTGAGAGGCTTTCGTCGGAGGTTATGGCGCTAGTGTTCCCTAGCCAGCTTAGGCGTTGTGCTGCGCGCTGACGATGCCTCTTGATGCATCAAACATATTCAGCATTTTGTAAACTCTCTGCAGTGCAAATCAGCGGTGTGGTGTTGCCCTGAAAGGCCGAATATGCTGGTGGTAACGCATGACATAAACAATAAAAGTTGTTTGACAACAAACCATGGTCCAAATCCAATAGTACCTCTTCGCCAAAAGGCCAAAGGTTACTGAAAGAGGCTGGCCAGACCTTAAGCTGGATGGCGTAGAGACATTGCCGTAGCAAAGGTAGGCCAACCTGGCTCTTTTTGCGCAGCATCAAATTGGATGTTTGGGCTTAAGAACCAAGTCTTGCTCAAGGGTCTTTTGCCATCCGCCCTGACGGTCATGAAATGCAGGGGGGGAAGGGATGAGAAACATCCTGCCGTTGGAAATCCGTGAATTGGCAACTCTTGTGAGGCTTTCCGCTTTGACCTATGCAGTGACAGGGCTGTGCGGCAAAGAATGCCGTTTCTGGACCAGATCCCAGGGCTTGCGTGCGATGCACACCTTCTTGATCCTGTGTGATTCGGCCATGGCAATACCTTGGATGCGACTACCGCATAAGAACCTCTCCAACTGGGACATCTTCCTACATTTCTTTATTCCAATTGCAATTCTGACCTTCAACATCTGCCTCATTGCGCAGCTGAATCAATATTCTCTGGAGACCAAGGCCGGGGTGAACATGCTTTTCCAAAATGCTCAAAAAGTGGACCTATCACCATGTTGCAGCCTTTCCCATCACCCGTTCGACCGTCAAAGACCCTTTGCTCCGATGGAAGGAGCTCACCTTGCGCGCTGGACATTTGGACTTTCAAACGTTGGATGACGCGACGTGCACCAGTCCAGCAGATGAGGTCCGTATCCGCGAGGCGATTGCGGGCCACGAGGACGTCGGCGTGTGGATTTCATGGAGAATTCACAGAGAATCAATTTGGGGTATCGTTTGTAGAATTCGCAGAATTTTTGCTTTACATGCTAGGTCACAGATGTCAAGCATGACACACTTTTCACTTCACACAGTAGCCCTTAAAGGCTTCCAAGGAAAACGGGGGTTAGCTGTGCAACTCCTTTGCATGGTAGCGGAGCACCGGTGTGTCTGGGGTGGCTGAAAAGGTAACCACTGAGCTGTGCAAGCCAGTGGGGGCCCAACTACTTGCAGCAGGGGTGGCGGTGTAGGTTGAGAAGTTGGAGTTCAGATTCCACAGCTCATCTTGCAGGTGGACTGGCAATTTTTGCCATAGGAGTTTTCACGCAAGCTGAATGGGAGCAAGCAGACGAATACTTTGAGCAAAAACGGCGGCGGCGGCGCCAACTCTGGACACCGCTTCTTGCAGGCACCTTGCTGAAGTTTGGAGCGCAGAAGTTTCAACCAATGCCAGAGAGAATAAAGTCAGTGTTCAATCTGATCAGGTGCAAGTGATGCTCTTGAAGGACGAGCATGACGACGCCTCACGGGCTCAAGCGGTCGACAAACCAGGTCGCTTTGCGAAAGAAATTTTGAACCGAGAAGGAAGTAGTAGAACTTGAAGTGGGCCGGTCAAAAACTGGAAACTTTCCGGAGATTGAATCACGGCTCAGAGGTTCCTGCGGAAACTTTCACGAAGGTGGGGATTGAGTTCGGGCCAATCGCGCCAGTGCTGTTGCCTATTCAACCTTAAAGTGCCGCTGTAAAGCAGGGTGCCACCAAACCCACGGATGAACCGGCTGCCACTGCAAACCAATTAAGTTGGCGCGGCAGAGACGCTCAAAAGACAAACTCGGAGCTCCAGGTTGAGCGAATTGTGAAGGGCCATGCTGGCATTCACAGTTTCCTTCAAGGCCTCAAGGCCACGGCAAATGTGGCTTTGGAAGCGGGCAAAAGCACGCTTTGGCAGGCTCCGAAAAGACCACCCCCACGCTGCGTGCGACGGCGCCTGTGCGGCCAAGACCCGTCGCTGCCGTCGCTTGGCGCCCCGACGACCCTTTCAGCATCTGAATTGTCGCGACGCCGATTCCCTTGAAGTCACCTCAGGAGAGGGAACTCCAGCTGCCCTAGCCCTGAGGAATGGAGCTGTCCATGAACTGCGGCTGTGGGAAAGCTATAGACCATAATACAAGATGCGACGTTGATTACTCCAACAAGATCCTATCCCATCAGGCAGGCCGAAGGCACGAAAGGCTGAAGTGGCAAGCTTAGGGTTGGCATGAGAGGGCCACCATCCATCGAGCCACTACTGGACTTCCTTCGCGGTCAACCCACTTCTGGCCTGAACGCGGAACCAAACTGTGGGGGTGGCGCTTGGAAGACAATTGAAAATGTGAGTCTGTCTAGCTAAACACCAGGGACTAGGATCATACCCTCCTCTTCAATGACTTAGAGAATGGTGCGCGCCTCGTGAAAGACGCAAGGCGGCAGGTCAGCGATCGGGCAGCGCTCGCGCCCCACATTTTGGCCGCAGAAGCCACGGTCTGCTTGCGGTCGAGCCGGCAGCTGTGGCCGGACAAACTCAAGGGATCTCTGCCAATCGTAATTGCGATCCCAAACCACGTCAATGAGTTCCAAGTTCCGGACGCTTCAAGATGTGATCAACGCTTGAGGGATCACTTGGGAGTTTTGTAGGCAATTGTTATAACAACCCTTATCGGACTGGCGCAGCCGTTGCCGCCGCAGGCGGAGATTGTTGTTGAGCGATATTGGCTGAGTTGTTGTTTGCCTCCGTCTCACCAGGTGGCAAGCTGAGCCTCGGTCTCACCAGGTGGCAACGCACTCATTTTGCGAACCTTGGAACACAGGGTGCTGTGCGTCGTGTGCGTATGCTCAAGCGTGAAGCCGACGCCAGTTTTGCAAGTTTCCTTTCGCGAAAAGGACCCGGCAGCAGGCGAGTACCGCAAGGCGCACTTGTTCGGACAAGATGCCACAGAGTTGACAGAGTTCAGGAGGACAAGGCCTGGACACAGAGCCCAGCCACGGAGCCCAGCCACAGAGTTGACACAGTTCAGGGGCGCGGCCAAGAGGAGGACAAGAGGAGGACAAGGCCTGGAGCCCAACCGCAGAGCCCAGCCACAGAGTTGACAGAGTTCAGGGGCGCGGCCAAGACGAGGATAAGAGGAGGACAAGGCCTGGACACAGAGCCCAGCATTATAGAAGTTTGTGGGCTTGGGAGGTCTTTTATTTTTGTGGATTGAACTGTATATGTATATATGGACTTGTAGCCACAGAGCCCAGCCACACAGCGCGCCCACAGAGTTGACAGACTTCAGGGGCGCAGCCAAGAGGAGGACAAGAGGAGGACACGGCCTGGACACAGAGCCCAGCGACACAGAGTTGAGGGGCACGAGCCCCGCGCGGCCAAGAGGAGGACAAGAGGAGGGACACAGAGCCCAGCCACAGAGCCCAGCCACAAAACCCTAAGCGGCAGCAATGAATACGTCCCAAGAAACCCTTCCAACACGTGGCCGGGCGGCGTTCGTGAAGGCCACATTGGACAACAGTGTGGCGTACGTCGTAGAGGAGCATGTTGGTCTAAGAGACGGCTGGCGGCGGCGAAGCCGTCCAAGTACGCGCGTGGCAAAGCCTGTGCCGCATCGCCAAAAGGGTCAAACCAGGCATCGGAAGATGCCTGGACGGGGAGCAGACGAGCAGGGTCCGCGGCGTACCAGTGGGTGTGGGAAATCGCGCCCCGGACTGGTGCGATGGGCGCGCGAAAACGGAGCGGCTGCAACTGGGACAAGGTGCGAGCAGTTCCCGCCCCTGACTCTCTATAGTATCTATAGGGGTCGTCGCTGAGGATGCTTCACGCAGGGAAGAAAAAGGGTGCACGTGCTCATGTTCAGGCTGCGAGGTTATGCCACTCCCACGTCCGTTTTCGTTTTGATGCTTCGTTTTTTCGCAGCTGTTTGGGAGTATACCGGGTCCACCACGGCCATGCCGCTGCCCACCGCCGAGGCCACACCCCGCCCGTCGCGCCGCCGTTCGTTCCTTACGCCGACCACTCATGCAACTCTATTTTACTCACACTCGTTTTTGTAGTTTGCGCTTTAGTTTGTGCCACCACCAACTGCCTTCCCACGGCCCTCCGATCGAGCACTTTTCATATTTTGCAATTCCAGTCGACTGCAGTCATCTCTACTTTTCGATCCGCCGTCCACGACTTCGCAGGAGCTCTTACGCTCTCTGCCACATCCGCTCTCGTGGCCCGCGTGGCAGCGCTACCATGCGCTCGCCCGACGGAACGCAACACACTGTGAAGTTTGCGACAAAAAGCGGTACCAAGCTTCATCAATCCGATCTGCGATCGGTTGGAATTGCGACAACAGGTTCAAGATTCCAAGCTTGTGTTCACGGCAAACGTCACGCGAGACGGCCTCCGGACAAGTCCATGTCAAAGGCGCCCGCAAGCGTGCCTGACTGCTTCCCTTAGGCGGCCTTTGTTTGCAAAAGCCAACGTAAGGTGATGGGCAATCACGATATGAGACTTAGCAATGAAGTAATCCCACAGTTGACACACCGAAAACCCTTCAAACGCGAAGGAATATGGGCATCCCTCAAGGCCAAGAGACTGGCCCTGTCCTTGTCAGCGCATCCAGCCTCAACCACGAGCGCGCCCTCCAATAAGAGTAGGAACAGCTTCCAAGTCGGCGATGGACGGAAAGTCTGTGTTTCATAAAGCAACCGACTCCATGGTGACCAACACCACGAGTCTCATGACGGCAAACGGGAAAAACGGATGCTTCGTCTTATACGGGAATCGCCGCAAAGAGAGATCTCTTGCGCCAACACCAAGTCAAATTGGCCTCCGTCAAGCGCAATCCGAATCACTTTTCTTCTCTCTACAGCTGGTGGGGGCCCGCTTTCTGCTTGCTTTTAAAGGGGCAAGTTTCTACAGCTGGTGGGGGCCCAGCTTTCTTCTCTCTTCTCCCAAGGGCAAATTCCTACAGCTGGTGGGGGCCCAGCTTTCTTCTTGTTCTTTTTCGAGGGGGCAAGTTTCAATCGCTGGTCGGGGCCCCGCTTTTTCTCGTTCCTCTTCAGCTTGTGGGGTCGCCCAGCTTTTTCTCGTTCTTCTCCCAGTTTCAACAGCTGGTGCGGGCCTAGCTTTCTTCTCTCTTCTTCCAAGGGCAAATTCCTACAGCTGGTGGGGGCCCAGCTTTCTTCTTGTTCTTTTTCGAGGGGGCAAGTTTCAATCGCTGGTCGAGGCCCCACTTTTTCTTGTTCCTCTTCAGCTTGTGGGGTCGCCCAGCTTTTTTCTCGTTCTTCTCCCAGTTTCAACAGCTGGTGCGGGGCCCGCTTTCAACTTTTTACTTTTCCTGCCAATGGCAACTTCCAGTGTTCGGTGCAACACACAGCTCGATGTTGCTTTTGTTCTTCCCCTCTTGGCAGTCAGTCATTCTTTTGTCGTTCGCAGGAAGATGTGGACACGGCCATCCGGGTTCTCATGAAAGCCGGGGCCTACAACGATTCTCTGCGGCGCTCGTTCGAGGCCGGCGCAGATATCAGCGGCTCAGCGACCAGAGAGACTTGGACCGGGCGTAAGACCTCGTTTATGAAGGAATTATGCGAAGAGACGACATAGCTTTTTGATGTGACAATGCATTTTTCCTCACCGTCCAAAGAGCTGGAAAAATTTGAAGGTCGCGTTGATGTGAAGTGAGACCTCTACTTTGGGAAAATTATGTCAGATGACAAGAACATGCAAACATGTCCTGTCTGGATTGAAGCCTGTGGCACGGCAGTGTGTTCATTCTTTTTGCCCTGGGTGATGTTGCGAGGACATCTTTTTCAAGACATTGCTGGTGGCCATCCTTTGGTTCGCAACGGCTTCGTTTAGCGTGTGTTTTCCAATTTATTTTGTTTGGATTGTATCATTGTACTGTGGGGTGGTAGTTTGTTTTTTGAACGGCAGCGTTGTACGAAGTCCTTCGTGCCATGCGCAGGTTTCAATCTAGAATCTAGCTGCAAGTCCGTGCCCCCCAGCGCAGCTTTGCAAAGCTAGTGATTCAGACTATTTAGTCATACATGTTCTTCGCGCACCTCCAAACGGGTTTAGAAGATCTGAGACCAGCTAGTTGACCTGTATTTCAATGAATCTTAGGTTTATGTCAATGTTGGACACCGGTGGGGCGGCCGAAGTTCAAAGCCAGTGCCCTGACCACTACTGGGCGAAGTGGCTCTGGATTGCAGCTGCTGCTGGGCGAAGCGGCGAAGTGGGGTGGGGTCTGCTGCCATGGTCCTTCACGGCCCGTTGGAACGTGTTTTTGCATGTTCGAACCGTCACGAGCAAGACTTCTGTAAGAGTCATGACTGAAGTGCTCCGTGGCAGAATGGTTGGAGTATTCATCTAGCCACGTTTTCAGTGCAATGTGATTCGAGTTTCTTGCGGTCTGAGGGAATCACAGCAATCTCCACCGTGGCGCTGCCCTTTTTAATTTGGAGACTGCAAGAAACAGGTCCACAACTTGCTCTCAATGCGGCCGCTTGCTTGCAGTGGTCAAAGCCCGGTTGACTGGTATGGCGAGATGCACGGTTGACTTGGCTACTGGCTGCTCTCGAGGTGAAGGCTTGGCTATTCCTGGCCATGCTGGTGGTTGGCATACCCCTCACTATGCAGATCGAAAACCACATGCCCCTTGCCATGCTAAGCGAGGAATAGACCTTTGCTGAAGATGAGACCTTGATGGTTCGCTTAGTGCAGACGGTTCGCTAAACACTTGAGCGAGATGGCAGTCAAACGCTTGTAGGTCTCATGGACTCTCCCCATTGGAGTTTGCCACCTAGGCTGAGTGGCATGCACTTCCTGCACATACACAGGCGCCAAGTCTTTTGGGGTGAACAATGGACAACATGTTAGTCCAACCTCAGGTTGCACCATGTGATGTGATCAAGAAACTTTTGTCGGTTGGCTTCTTGGCTGCCTCGTTTTTTTTTTGCCAGGAGTTTTCTTTTTAAAGTCAGTTTTTTTGAGAAAGTTGAGGTGATGAGCTGACAAGACTGTCCGAATACTTCATTAGTCTTTTTGGAGAAGTGTGCAGCATCTGTGCTGACCAGGCTCTTCAGCCCTCCCAGTGGACAGGGGAGAGACTTAATGAAAAAGACATTTCCTCCGCTGCAATTCTGCAGGTGCAAAGCCCGCGCCAAGCCGATCACTAGGGCACACAAAAACATATCACAGCGCCAAGCCTCAAGTTCCTGTTCATTTTTAGACCGGGTTTGCGCACGTGGAAAGCAAGCAGCCGCTGCACACCAGCGCCCACTTGGTAGCAAGTGGTGGCTGTGGGGTGCAAAGCTGGCGATTGAAAATGAACACAGTTTTGTGATATAAACCAATCGGCCGCTGTCCCCGAACACGGTTTTTTCAGGATCGCGCTATGAAGTCAACACAGCTTCTTTTTTAACCGACTCTTTGAAGAACCGGGCAGCAAGAAGTCTAGCTGTTGATGAGTGTCCGTGTGTTGAAGACTTCTCAGATATTTGGACGGGTATGGGCTCAATATTGCTCTCGTTTGTGACCGCTAGGTTGCTACCAAGATGGCATTTCACAGCCGAGCCTTTTTTGCCAAAGCATTTCCGGCATTTGAGCCGAAACTCCGAAAGCGCAATTCCCGCTTTTGTCTTTAACTTCATGCAGCTCAAAGCTGATTTCGAACGGGCGCAAAGCTACTCATTGAGCCTTCTAGTGTGGCAGGCCCACCACTGGAGACCGCTGCCCATCGCGTTGGGTGCTGCAACTTGGCGCCACCATACCCCTGTTCTTACATGGCAGGCTCTTGGCCGACTGACACTATAATCATGTGACATCCCATGATTCAATGGTACTCTGTGTTTCAAAACCTATGTCTGAAGCTGGTAATTCTTGTTCCGAGGATCCTGTTGGCCATTTTCCGGCCATTCTTAGCGGGTGCAGCCACGTGCTATGCCTGCTCTGCTCTTTGCTGTCACACAGCAGGTACCTTGAGCGCTGTTGTTGGAAACTGACGGTCTCCAAACAAAACAAACAACAGCTAAGTGACACGAAATATCTCGAGAGCTCAAAGCAACAGGCGCGTGTTGCCACGGGCTATTGACGGCCGTGACGGCGCCGTCGTTTTTTGCAGAAAAAGCGCTGTTGCCCTGGGGCCAGGTGACCGGAAGTGTCCCATGACGAGGACACTCACCACGTCGGGCGAGGAGTCGACCGAGGAGTCGACCGAGGAGTCGACCAGCGAGTGACGCGGCTGAGGAGTCCACGGCTGGGCCGCGGCCTGTGGCACTCTTCGGATACGTTTCGGTCGTAGAGAGTGCAGTAGGGTAGTGAGTCTTGCAGTACGATATGTTTTTACTGTAGCATATTGATTTGTGCCACTGGCAAAGCCATGACATGTAGGTGAAGCTTGGCAGAAATGCTGCACTTGTATTTTGATTTGTTCGCTTGGACAGTGTCTGCCCTTCTGCGAGCTGTGGCAGAAATGTTGCTTCTTCCTAGAGTGTGAGCGTGAGGGGATCACAATTGACATTTTAGAACATTGGGAACTTTTTCAATGAGCCCATGACCAGACGAAACCTTTCAAGGTCAAGAGCTGCACTGTAGATTTACACGTTGCATCCTACTATAATATAGTAGATGCAGGTGGCCCTTATTCGTTGACGTGTTGTGCTGCCTTGCCTTTATGCATCATTGTCTCGCAGCCATTGTTTGTGCCCTGGAACACACACACACACAGTGTGAGAACTGACAAATATGACTCAGGGTGCTCGTACCCTCACGCATGTATATGAGTGTTCACAGATCCAAAAAGGGGACACCTAAGAAAACTTACTACGAACGGAGCAAGAAGCTACGAACGGAGCAAAGGGCTACTAGGAGCAAGGACGCTAGGAACGGGGCTCCTGGCCTTACTACGAACGGAGCAAGAAGCTACGAACGGAGCAAAGGGCTTACCTTTCAATGTACAAACAAGTTCCCAACTCCATGAAAGCGGCGTCCGTTGAGTACTGCAGATCTCGCGTGGATCCCGATGACCAGGGTGACTTGGCACCAGTTGGCACCCGGGGTGACTTGACCGGGCGCAGCGTGGAGGTGTGATCTCCGTTTCATTCTTGATCGCCGCAGGTCTTTGTTATGGACCATAAATGGCTTTGCTTCATTCTCAAAGACAGCACAACATCAAAACCTGCCTGCAGGCTGCTGATGGCTGCCCTAGATCTTAGTGACCGCCTCTCCCTCCAAGCTAATAGCGATGGCCTCCAACCTCTGTAGTGATGGCCTCCCACCTAGTAGTGATGGGCTCCAACCCAGTATCGTGTTGTTTTTGCAAAGCTGTCATGTTTCGCCGGCTGCTCTCTGACCCATCCATTGCTCGAGCCAAGCCAGCTAGCGATAGCTGAGTCTGCTATCATGATGGCTGGCGATTGCTGGCGATTCGTGGCTGCCTTGTTTCGATGTGTTGCAAGCTGGTTGTTGCCTTCAGTGGACTCATCGGTGCTGTTTGTTTGGAGCGAAACCAGCACTCTACCACGACCAGGTGACCTTAACCACGAGAGGGGTCCATAACCACGACAACCTTAACCCCGAGAAGACTTTTGGTCAGACTCAACAGTGCATTTTTTCATTTTTTGACTCCGTTCGTCTCTTTGCCTTTTTTTACGGTTATTTTGGTCACTCGGTGGTCACTCGGTCTGTTTTCCTTCACTTTTCGACTTTTTTCGGGGTCGGTTGGTCTGTTTTCTTTCCTTTTGCACTTTTTGGATGCCGCTAAGTTCATTGTGGTCGGTGGTTCTCACTTCAGATGCGAGAGGCCACAGCGGACCACAAAATGTACATTTGAGACAAATTTGGCTGTTTTTGGTACAATTTTGGGTCGGTGCGCCCCAAAAAATGAACATAGCGGCATCTCTGCAAAGTTGGATTGGGTTGTCGCAGTTTCTGACAGAGCAATTTGGCCCACTACTAGTACTACTACTACTACTACTACTACTACTCCTCCTCCTCCTCCTGCTGCTGCTGCTGCTGCTGCTGCTGCTGCTGCTGCTGCTGCTGCTGCTGCTGTGGGTGAGTGTGAGGGTGTGAGGGAGTGAGGGTGAGAGTGGGAGAGTGAGAGTGTGAGGGAGTGTGATTGTGAGTGAGAGCGTGAGAGTGAGTGAGTGCGAGTGTGAGTGACAGTGAGAGTGAGTGTGAGTGAGCGTGAGTGTGGGTGAGAGTGAGTGTGAGTGAGAGTGGGAGAGTGAGAGTGAGAGTGAGTGTGAGTGAGTATGGGTGAGAGTGTGAGTGAGAGGGAGAGTGAGTGTGAGTGAGTGAGTGAATGAGTGAATGAAAGTGCATAAGTGTGAGCATTGCGCACAGGAGACAGAGGGCTTCAGAGAGCACACACCTGCACCTGGGTGGAACCACTCCAGGACACAGAGGTCTAGATGTCGGGACAACGGTTCAGAGCACCAACCTGCAAGCTAGACGATCAGTGTGAGGTAAACCTGTTTGGGGAACCAGTATCAAATCATGCAGCCCAGAGCACCAGAGCGCACTGGAGACAAATGGAACACAAGTGTAAGATCACGCGTGCCGGGTACGCGCCCCTTTCAAAACCCTCAGGTAAACCTGTTGGGTGAAAAATCACGCTGCCAAAGCACCCACAAGCGAGTGGCGACAGTGGGAGACAAGTGTAAAATCATGCGGCCAGAGCACCCACGCCACCGCTGACCACAAAATGTAGAATTTGAGATAAATTTGGATAATTTGGTTGTTTTTGGGTGTGGTAATTTTTTTGGTCTGTGGGAGCAAATGGAATGTGAAAACGTATGAAGTTGTTGCCGAAAGGTGTAGAAATGGCTTTGGTCTCCCAGCTGGCAGTCTTTATCAAGAGTTCTTTGAGCCTGTACCTAGACTTTGTTCATTCCAAGGTGACCTGCCAGATCGGCTGATGCCTCTTTCCAGACTCATGGGGAAGTTGTTGCGGTACAAACCAGATTATTTTCGCCGGATGGGTGTCGTGACTCTGCTGCAAGACCTCATTCCGGATGGTGAGACCCAAGGAACGAATCGAAAGGGGAACCCATTCCATAGTAAGGCCAGGAGCCCCGTTCGGGAGCCCCTAGTAGCTTCTTGAGTAGCGATGCCAAGGCTTCAAATGCCACATCCAATGAGTCGTGAGTTTCTGCGCCACGTCGATTTCTCGAAGTTTCCGCCGACGGCGACGCTTGATCCCCTCCGGTCGATGTCGGAGGAAGACTCCGCCGCAACGATCGCCTCCAGGTCATGGACGCCGACGGCTGGGTGCCCCTGACCGAGCTCCTCTCGCTCGACGACTTTGTGGACTTCGCGGCTGCGGATGTTCGCCGCTGGACGGATGTTCGCATGCCATGGGCTGATGGGGGGCGAGTTAGATCGAAGAAGAAAAGGCACTCCGAAAAAGGGCCCCGCTGTCATAAGTTGTCATACATTCTTCCAGATAAACGTGTCCGCATTTGGGACTAGTCCCTAACATGTTCAGCTCTGGTGCGGTATTTCCTGGAGAAGGACCGGAGAAAACGGTTGCAAATGATTTTAACAATGACAACAAATGCATTGAACAACGGCTAACCTGGAAGATCAGACCCATCAGCAGGACACGTTAGCAATTCAAAAGTTGTTTCAGGAAACTTATGATTTGAACAGCTTAGCGGCGCAGAGGTCTTTGGCTTGCAATGTGATCCTGGGAATCTAGACAAACATAATCAAAAACCATTATGAAACATCTAGGTGGGGGGGTGCTGAGCTTTGGCAAGGGAACAGCCCGGTTTCCTGCAATAGGTGTGGCTCTAGAGCGGGATATCCTAGGGCTTAGCACTCCACCATGCTGCCCACTGCGCAGCGGTATCTGTGGGTGGACAATGCTAACATGTCCCTGCATGAATCTCAGCAAGCTTGATATTTGTCAAAAAAAACATGCTCACATAGCCCGTGGGGAAAATCGGCATGTAGTCTGTCATGGGACAGGATACGTAAAAACCAGGAGAGTAGATTCTTCTCGCTTTGGCCTTTATTCCAGCCCAGTGTTGAGAAGACACCGAGGTGAGGTGGTCAAGGAGAGCTACTCCAAAGACCAGCCACGGTTTGAGTGCCGCGAGCAAGGTGTGGAGATTGCAATGCGGCCACCTGGGTTGTTTCAAGCCACGGTCTCATGTTTCCTATTGTTTGATCCCTGATTCTGAAAATCTTTAGGTTCAATCTGTTGACAACAACTGCCAAATGAACAGTGCGAGCCTGAGCTATCCTGCCTCCTACCTACAGCGTGTTTAGTAGCTACCGGCCTACCCTCTTACTCTAGCATACTCTAGCGGCGGCACCCCTGGGCACCCCTGGGCTAGACAAGGCCACTTGCGACACGGCATCCACGGCTGTGCCGAGTCTTCCAGGCGGCCGCCTTGAAATTCGAGCCCTGCACAAACGCGCAGCTGTGCGCTTTTCAAAAGGCGCGAGCGGAACGAAGAGACGAAGAGATATTCGGGAGTTGTTCTTCTTGTATTTGATATTTAGTTTTACGGACGCTTTGGCAGACATTCAGTTACATGCAGATTCGATGCAAGCTGCGAGGAAATCGAATGGAGTGGCGAAAACGGGCATCTAGCCCTGAGCCTCCATTGGTGGAAAGCCCCTTCGAGGAGAGGCTGAAGTTCAGAAGCAAAGTACAACAGTGGGAACACAAGGAATAGTGACCCTCTGTGGCTTTTAGACTGATACTCTGTCAATCTTAGTCAACTTTGCTTGCCCAAAGAAAGTTTCTTGGCCACGGACATCGCAAAACGCAGCAGAATCATTTGAACAGGAGGCCATTCCAGTGCCTGCCAAGAGAAACAAGATGCGAGGCCCACCTTGTGCCAACGCCGAGGATAGAACATATAGGACCGGTCATGTGCAATCTGCATCAAATGCTTCTGAAGCTCTGGTCTGACCGTCTGACCGTTGTTTTTTCGATTGATGCTTGGGTGCTTGTGATTCTGTGTGTGTGTGTGTTTGCGGCTTCTTTCAAACACGTTCTATCTGTGTACTTGGAGAAACATGCGTAGAGGTCGTAGAGTCAGCGCCATCCTGCGATCATCCTCGATCCGGGATTTGTGCCAGCTAATCAGTGAATCGTTTGAATCGTGCATACAAACACGTGCAAATGGGGTCAGCTTAAAGCAGCTGAGCAGCACCGACAGCAGAAACAGCTGGAGCTCCAGGTGCTGTTGCGTCCGCGACCGAGCACTTCGACATCAGTGAGGTGCTCTCGTTAGTACGCCTGCGTTTGGCATTTGAGGCCGTTATTTTTTTTTTCAGCACAAGTGGAGGAAACGATATGATGAAACGGGCCATGGCCGCGATTTAGATTGATAGGTTAGGTTTACGGTTTACAGTGTGTTCCTTTGGCATGATTGATATCGATAGAACGACTTAATTGCCAAGACTGCTCACGCCAAGACTGCTTTGCCAAGACTGCCGCATCCTACCGAGGAATGCACCAAGGATGATCCGGGCGACTTGCCTGATGGTTTGTCAAGCAGTCACGTGGAGTGGGTGAGGCGAGTCTCATTGCACAGCAGTGGAATGGGCGAGTCTCGTGGCGGAATTTTCCGTGTGGTAGATCAGGACCACCCTCTGTACAGTTCCAGACTGGCAAATGGAACCCTAGGGTGTGTGGTTTTCATGGTCGTCCCATTTTTCAGGCAAGACGACACAACTCTGTCATTCTGCCAGACACTTCAGACTCATGCAACGTTGGGTCGCCACTGGGAGGTTTGAGCTCTCAGAGGGCGTCTTTGCCTGGTGGTGCACAAGAGACGATGGCTCTGAAGACGGCTTTGTTGAGATGAATCCGGACGGGGCACCGGGAGATGGGCGCCGGGCATCGGACGAGTTGTGGCGGGTGGGTACCACACCTGGCTTGAGGCTTGAAAAGTACCGGTTTGCAGCTGAAAAGAAACACCTGTGAGGCTCCAGAAGCACCTCTTAAGTTTAAAACATATAATTTTCAAAAAAGATAATTTGTGCTCGAGAAAAGCCAATCTCCGCAAGAAGTGAACCCAATTTTGACTTCTTAACTTCAAATCAAAGAGAATAAAGCAAGAACCGCAAAGAGAGCCAGGCAACGGAGGATAGCCTGGCCCACCCATAGCTTGCAAGCACTGAGAGGCGGAGCAAACTTGAGCAGAAAAACTGCAAGTGTGTCTCGTAACAAAGGAGTTCCCTTTCCTCTGTACACTGTGTTTGTACTGAGCCCATCAGCCAGCTCAGAGTAGCACTCGTAAGGTGGCTGCACAACAGGCTTATGGCTTGAAGCAGACTGCCCTGCCAGCTCATCCGGACTAGTCACCACAGTGATAGGCCTAACTTTGTACAGCTAGTTCTTGATGCCTTTGCTTGTTTTTCATGTGTAAACTGCTATATAAATAACCATTCTTTCATTCCTGTTGGTCTGATCATTTGTCTATATCTATATCGTTGATTTTGACAGCTTGAGCAAAAAGCCCACGAGTCAATCGCCTCCTTCGAGCGATTCACGTGTGGAGTGATGTCGGATCTCGATCTCGATGACCCCATCTGTTGCAGGAGCCTTGGAGCTTGGTCACGCCCACACAGGTGCAAGAGTTGGAGTCACTCGGTGCGAGAACAGTTCGGTGAGTTGAAGATGTTGAAGACGTTCGGAGCTTCGAACGTGAGGAACGTGGCGAGTTGTCAGCACCAATGGCTAAAGAGCACGTCATGTTTGCTGCAATTTTGTCAACCATGCCATGGGATAAAGAATGCGCTTTGACATTGACGGAGAGATCCTGAACATGTTTGCGACTCCCTTTCTGGGGCCTCTAGGCGACCATGCTGGATCAACGGAGAAGATGGAGAGTACTTCTTCATCAGCCCGCAGGATACACCAGACGAGAGCGAACACAGATGATGGCGAACACAGATGTGCTTGGCAAAAAGAGCTGGTTGAAGCCAGTTGGACCGTTGAGCTGCTGAGTTCTTTCGGCACCAATGTGGACTGAAGGAGTCATTGTGATTTCGACTAAACAGTCCAACAAGCGCCTCAGTGTTTTGAAGTTCTTTGGACTCTTTGTTCGGACTTGACAGAGCACGTGGTTAGCTGCCAGCTAGGCTGGATGATCAAGAGTTCGGAAACACCGCCTGGTTCATTCAAAGACACCGGAGATACTGTAAATGAGTTTCAACGCCTGATGCATTCTGGCTCATTGCTTTGGAGCCCACATAGGGCAGGTAGAATTGGTTGAAAGACGAAGCGTCTTGTGATTTCAGTGGTACAGTGAACAATCATGATTATTTTTGGACAAGGCCTTTCTTAACCATCATCATCCACTGTTACAGGTAATAGGATAGACCCAGTATATAGGTGTAAAAAATGGTGTAAAGACTTCAGGTGCCGTGAACAATAGCAAAAGCTTTGACAAGGAGGCCCTGCCATGTCCGAAGAAGGTGTGGAGATCTCAGCTGCTGACCTGGGCCGGCCAGTAGACAGGTCTTCGAAGGAAGCGCTGGAAGACTTTGCGAGGTGAGACGTCATGGTTGTTGTTTTTTGTTTGTTTGTTTGCGTCTTCCTAAACAGTCCATATAGTCTTCCTGTTTGTTGTTGTGTATTGTAGTAATACGGGAACATATATAGGCGGATATAATAGGAGGGAGGACAGGCAAACAAGGGGTTAGTAGACAGATTATCTGAAGCTTTTTAGGGGTTTTGGAACTGGGAGGCCATTCTATTTAAGTATACACTTCATGTGGACTCTATGTGGAGTTTGTGGCTGTGGAATTGCTAATTTCAATTTTTTGGGCATCTGCTTGCTAGAGGATCGGAGCATGAAAACTTGTATGGGTCAAGTGGCTGTGCATTTTCAGAGGCATTCCAGAGGAAAATTGAGCTCATGGTGGGCTCAGCGGAGCTTCGTGCGAGATGTGCAGATCAGCGTTTTGGTGGCCACATGGACTGTGATCTTATCACTTCCAGTGATTATCTGGCCATGGGCCGAGTACATGAACCATGGATGGTGCCGGTCTCTGGATCTGGCCCACTGTGTCGCTTGCTTTCTCATACCATGAGCTAGCAGATCCTTTCCTTCTTGCAGCAAGAGTTGAAAGGTTTGTGAAAGCAGGTTTCAGTGTTCCAAAACCAATCGTTTCCGACTCCGACTATATAATTATTGGTCCGTTTTTGCCAAGGTCACAGAAGAGGGACCAACAGCAGGTGTTTGCAAGATTATGTGGAATTGGTCCGGTGTCCATTGTGCTCCAGTGACTCAGCTCCCAAGCCTCTGCTTGGTTAGGGTACTGTACTGCTTCGGCCACCCAATTAAGAACGGGAGAGATGTCAACGATGAAGAAATACGGATTCAGGCGAGAGAGAACAACTAGGAAGCAGCATAAGCGAACCTTTAGCTGCTGGTTCTCAAAGGATGTTACGAAACCTCCAGAGTATTCATCTATAGCTGCATGGAGGTCTGAGGTCTGGCACTGGTACACACCCACACACACACACTTATAACTAAAAAATCATAATATTTTCCAGTTGAATTGCCTGTACGCATGTGATTTGCCTGGCCGTGATGGTAACCAATGCCTATTATGTTCTTTGGTGGAGACTTATCGGCCAGAAGAATTCACTTTCACTGGCCTGGCTTTATCTCCAAACTTGGACTGGTGATCCCGGAACGATTGGTGAACACCTCCAAGCTTTATCCCAGCGTTGTGAGGCGAGGCCAAGTGCGTTCTTGAATCTCTGGGGAACGATGTTGCTGCAGTTTATCTTCTCAGTGTATGTGGATCTGGGAAGCAGTGTGCGCTTCACACTTCAAGGGCTCTTTGGCACTTCCTTGGCCTATTTGAATCGTGACTGCAAGCATTCTGACGATGCGAAGCAAGCAAACAAAGCGGTTTTTGCTCAGCATTGTCGGCTTGGTCGAAGAAGTGCGAACATGGATGACTCCCGTTTTACTTAAACTTCTGATCATGGAACGAATAAGGAACGTGATGTTTCTGAACAGGATTCTTGGCTTTTTCCTTGGTGGGGGGAGCCTATGCCCACAGTATTACTGTCGGAGAGGGTGACGTGATCTCTGAATGGCTGCCCTTGTGCAACAACGGCGTCCGGAAGATTGCGGACGACACTGCGCACTGCTTCTTGAATCTTTGGATCGAGACACGGCAACATCAATCCTTTCATTCGAAGCAAAGATAAGAAGAGTGTGTTTCTGGAGAAAAGAGAAGGCTAGCGGCTAGCAACATGAAATCAACGAATCAAGGAGAAGACGAGCTGGCTTGGTGTCTTCTCCTTCTCGGTGACTTGGCCACATTGATATGTTGAGACAACAACGAAGACGGACGATGCGAAGATGGTCATTGGTTCGATCATGCCTCGAGTATTCTGTATACTGTATAACTGTATAACATCTCTGTGGTGGCGTTCTGGCCACTTTCGTTGGTCGGCCTGGCACAGACTCTTAGGTAGTGGCTTTGGACTTCACACTCTTTGTGGTTCTGTGCTTGTCTTTACCCTTCAATTCAAACCCGCGGATGCTTGGATGAGAGCAGCACCTTTAATATGTTATCTTTAATGCATTTTAATGCCTTTGATATAACACATGACACATGAAGTAAACGAACCTAACGAAGTAAACCCATGGACACATCCAGCGCTGCTGGGTTTCGGCCGCGGACAAGCGCAGAAAGCGCGCGCGTCACGTCATGTCTGCGCCAGGATCTTTGCACTCTCGACCCATGTCAGCTTCATCATGACTTTTGTGGATCCTTCAGGAGACAGCTTCTCAACGGAGCCCACCTACGCTACAGAGCCTTGTCTGGTGTTGTGAGGCGCTGGGATTGAACGTAGCTTTTGCTTTGGTGCAGATTGCTTTTGCAAAGTAAGGTGTAAGTGAGGTCTGTTCAGGTAAATGTTGTATCCTCTATCCATCCCACCTCGCGCATTCTCTCCTTACAAAGCTCTTTTCAGAAGGCTTTGACTTTTGACACTGAGGAATACCTGGAGATGATCGCCCTGGCCGCGATGATGGTGTTGTTCTGTTTCTTCATACCTAAGCGCCGCTTCACTGGGACCGAGGCAGCTCAGGTCTGGGCTAGAGAGGCCACCGACGCTCATCGAAATCGACCAAGGGCAAGTTTTGGCATTGGCATTGTCGTCGTAAGTACAATAAGTAGTCACTTAGTGCAGTAGTAGTAGTAGTAGTAGTAGTAGTAGTAGTAGTAGTAGTAGTAGTAGTAGTTGTTGTTGTTGTTGTTGTTGTTGTTGTTAGGGTTGTAGGGGTAGTAAGTAGGGTTGTAGGGTTGTAGGGGTGCAGGAGTCGTAGGAGTCGTAGGAGCAGTAGGAGTAGGAGTAGGCAGACCAGTGGCGGACTTTGGCACCTTGCATTCAATCTGAGGAACTGGCCAAAGTGCTGGTGAGTCTTGGATTGAACAACTTTCAGAGCCGTGCGGTCTTGTCCTTCACAGGAAAAACACTTGCTGAAACTGCGTTTGTTCGGAACCCAATTGGCTGTCCCATATGATGAGCCAACATCCCAACAACATGTTGTAGCAACATGTTTATATAATCTTGGCAAACACACAGTTCAATGCCAAACTTTTGGCAGTACATAGGTATTCCAAGTTCTATATAGGGGCTCAGTGCACGAACACTTAGTTATATATTTGGATGAGATTGGTTCATTTGTTGATTTACGACTTAGAACCCTCTTAAAGATGCCTCATTGCGTTCCATGATCTGCCAGGAAGCACTTGCCGGACAGCCTTGAAGAGGTTTTGCGACTGAAGGCAAAGACGTGCCTGGAGACTGCCGAGACGACTTTGCAGGTGAGCAGTCTCGGCCGAGCCCGGTTGAATGGGACAAGAGAACCCAAAGGAGTGGGAGTCTGTTGGGATCAGGGCTCGGACGTGGTGCTTTGTCCGTTAATACGATCAAGCGTAGTGAGCGTACAATCAAGCCGCTTTTGGACCGCCAGGAATTGAAGAAGAGCGTCAACTCCTCACGCTTTGAGCGCTTCGCTTGGCTGTGGGCCAACGAAGAACGACATGAACGGCTGGAGCTCCTGCCCAGTTGTTTGCATCGCTGTTTGCAGAGACTCCCAGCGATTTACCAAGCTGCTGCTGCTTTGGAGTGCCTTCGTAGGGGAAGGCCTTGGGACAGAGCAGAAGGTGTTTGAAAGGTTTTGGACAAGCTTGTTCATTCATGTTCTGATATCAAAGACGCTTTCATAGAGTCATCCAAAGAGTAGCTATTCAAGGCTTTTTGGTGGTGGTAGTTGGTGGTGGGGCCCGACAGGTCATATTTCTTTCTGTTCCGCGGAACAGGTTTTCTCCCTTTTCTGTCCCGCCTAGGGCCTAGTCGGTTCATGGCCAAAAGCCACCATGACCAGATGGTCAAAGGGGATTGTTTGGAACAATAACAGTCGACTGGACATCGCTATGAACAGATAAACCACCCTGTATGTTCATTAAAAAGAACCACTTGTTTGGGGATTGGAACAGGCTCATCCACATAACATTAAACCACCCTATGAACATCGCCCAAATCAAGCGAGAAACTTTCCAAGGGGGAATTGTAAAGAGGGAATTGGGCAACCTGACCCGAAAAACCGTGGACCTGACCAGCCCGAAGTAGTTTGGGACGGTGCTTTGACACATGCAAGTCATGTGTCGGAGACGGTTTCTCTTCACAACCTGATTGCAGTGTCCGCTTTGCATCACTGAGATCTTCTGGGGGCCTCAGCCCAGAGCTGCACCAGTGCCTCGGACAGTGCTGCGAGGCGCCACAGGGCGAGACGACGTTTCCTTCGTCCGACTCGCCTTGAGGCGTCGTTCTGAGCGTTCGAGGCGTTCTGGTCCTCCCAAGGCCCGCTGGTCACATGAGCAACTCATGTCTTTGCTCCTCTATTTTGCTCCTCCCAAAGCCCAAGGCCCTACTACTTTTTTCTCCTTGGCTCCTTCACCTACACCTTTCTACAGTTGCGCTTTGCTGTGCTTGTGACGACCTACTTTCGACTTGGTAGTTTCTATCAATCTGAGAGGATGTGGGGACTCTGCTCAAGCACCCAAGCAACAACAAAGCACTTGACTGATCAATGACATCAGGTTTAGATTCCTCGATTTCCCAGCATGGCAGACGGTCTGATGCAATCCTAAAAGCCACGAAGAAACATACAGCATGCACAGCATGGATACGCAAGGATGGTATCAGTTTCAGTTGCCAAATCATCATGCAGCCCAGAACCAATGAGTAGTGTTGGTTCTTACATTTTGGCACTGGGAGTATTTTGAACACTTAAAGGAGTCCCCAATCTGAATTATTAAGTAGCTCGACTCGAGGCAGCGTCTGCCAAGCTGGACGTTTTCTTTATGCAGAATGATGGTGCTGATGGTGAACCTTCTCCGGAAGATGGTGCTGATGCCTTCAAGGCAGCAGAACAGCAGTTTGCAGTTCTTTGGCACATGGACAAGGACAGGCTGATCTTGACATCCGGATTGGCATTGCCTTTTCCAATTTTCATCACCCTGCCAATCTTGACATCCATGTTAACTTCTTTTCTGATGTTTCATATCGGATGACGATGAGCCTGTATGTCCAAAGTGATCATCGGAATATTGGACGAACAGAGATGCCCTTGACGGTTGAGGCACGAGATATGACTAGATTACCAGTAGTTTCAATGATGTAATTACAAGCTCTAATGTTAAGGTCCTCAAAAGATCTCTAGGAACCAAATCATTAGTGCGAGCACTTCTTCAAGGAAGCTTCCCCGCCGCCTTTAGGGGGAGCTTCCTTGAAGAAGCGTCTTCGCTATCCTGCGTCCTAAGCCTTGGAGATTGAGAGCTTTCGCAATTTTCCTTTTGAGAACCGAGAGTCTGGAGGCACATCTGGTTGTGGCACTAGGCTTCTTTTGTGACACAGTCTGTGGCACAGCAGTGCATCTCGACAGGAGCGTCAGCCGGAGGTTTGTGCCTTTGTCCTGGTGGTCCTGGGCGCTTTAGCGGAGCTCAACGAGGCCACTTCGTTGGTAGGCGAAAATGACTTGTCAAGATGTCATCTAAGGCATCCAATCGCAACGAGAAACCTGGTTCTTGGACCGAAACTCGCTTCTTAGACACCATTAAAGTCAGAAGAATAGAGACCCAGCATGCAAGTAACTGTGCTTCTCAAAGGTTCCACCACATTCTTTTAGAACAGATTCTAACACAGCAAGCCTTTGTTTGGTTCTTCAGTTCTTCAGTGTGGAGCTCTGACCTTTTGGTGGCCATGTCGTCATATGCGGTCATAGATGAATGTGGTTCTTGGAATATCCATTCTAGATTGAAGTAGGAGGATTCCTCATGAGACTCTCATGTTCGACTGCGCTTTGCCGAGGTGGTCTCGGACTTCCAGCGTTTCAGAGTTCCATCGGCTGGCGTCTGCAGCTGTTGGAACCTCCTGGACTCTCGGACGGACCTGTTAGAGCGGCAACCACGGGGCCGACCGAGAGAGTTCGAGAAATGATACGGTGGTTTTGAGGACTTGAAGAGATGACCAATGACATCTCGTTCGTTCCCTTTCTGACCAAGGTGGAAGTAACTATTCACGTTTTGCATATGTCTCTTTTTGGGGGGACCCAAATTGAGTCTTGGATTTAAGGCCAAGTTCAAGACCTACAGTGCCGCGATCCTTTTTCACAACGAGGACACCGAAGCCATTCACCCCAGATTTGTGGTGCGCAATACGATCTCAATTTGCTTGGCGTTCAGTATTGGATGGCTGGGAATTTGGAATGTGATGCCGAGCTACTCCTCGTATGCAGCCTCCACCATTGCAGTGATCTGGCGTCAATTTGTCCAACTGGTGTGAGTGGAAGGGAGTTTGATGCTTCCAGTAGGCCAGCTGCGAGAGTAATTATCCAAAGGGTACATGAGCTTTGGGGGCATTTTGGAGCAAACAACAGCTCACACATAGGGCGTTTTTCTGATTCTGAATTGGCCTGTAGTAGGGCGTCTCTGATTCATAGGGCATTCTTTTGGCCCAGGATTGTCCATTATTCATGTTACGCGTGCTTTTTTTCCTTTGTTTTGGCTGGGTTTGTGTGATGACACGAGGTGATTGTCTACACCTACACGGGTGCGACGTCCACGGTGACTCTACGCCGCTTGAGTGGGGTGGTGCTTGGGAAGGTGGCCGGCTCCATCCTGCAGCTGGGCCTGGCCGTGAAGTGCCCTGGCCGAAGGAACGAAGGGAGGCGAGCTGAAGGAACCGAGCGACCAAGCACAGCCAGCGACCAAGCGCAAGCGGAGCACTGGCGTTTGGGATTGGGAGAGGGATCACCGGGTAAAAAGAGCAGACCATCGCCGCATGGCCCTGTGGTGCCCTGTGGTGCTTGGATGGATGGTTTTGGTTTCTCATGGGGCAGTGGTGGATTTTTGTGTGAGTTCAATGATAAAAAGTCAACGATGAGGAGACTGCAGGTCGAGACTGCATAGTGACAGTCTGCTGTGCATTGAGGCATGTTGCGTATGTCATGGCTTTTGCCACAGCTATGTGGCTTGTTGCGCCTTGGAAAGCAAATGGTGCACGACGACTTTGGCCCCCCCATCAACGCAGTTTGGACACATCAACCCATCAAGCGTGAGACTGAGATATCCTTCCAAGTTGGCCCAGGATGCCAGGAGCCCCTAGTAGCGTCCTTGCTCCTAGTAGCGATGCCCTTTGTTCCTAGTAGCGTCTTTGTTTTCCTTCTAGGGAAATTGAGACATACTTGAATTGCTCAAAGCCCTAAGGGCCCTTGGGCTTTCGGGAGCCGGACCTTTCCGCATCCAAGGCCCGAACCCAAACAGTTCCTAAGGCCTCCAACCTATTAGCGATGGCCTCCCCCTAATAGTGATGGCCTCCAACTGATGGTTCCTTTGACTCCTCAGGTTGCCATGACCTTTTTCCAATACCTACATGCGCCCGCTGACTTGGCATCTGTCTATGGCCTCACAGCGGCCTATGCGGCTGCCAGTATGATTCCAAGCAATGGGGTCTTGCGCGAGATCACGCAGAACACACAGACCTCAGTGCTGCCAACCTTAATGAAGCTTGGACCAAAGGGACAAGAGACCAGGTGCTTGTCCCCATCACTCAAGAGACCAGGTGCTTGTCTCACCGCCCTATTCGAAGGGGCTATCCTTGTATTCTTTTTCAGGAGTGTCAGCGTCAACAAGCTTGTATCAGCTTTTTAACCTTCTATTCAGTATTACTTACTACATTTTCTTACTATATTACTATTTTACATCAATTTCTTTAACATTTCCTTTAGAATACTAGTAGCTATTCTCTCAGATAGCTTCCAGGGGATCTTGCTTAGTGAGAGGAAGACCTCTTCTCCCACTATATACGCATTAATCGATGTTGTCTCACAGCCTGTTCTTCCATGCTCGCTGCAATTCTGTTGCAGCAGGTCCGCTGCGGATGTCATGGGTTCTCGACCTCAAAATGGAATCGGTAAACAAGAACAAGAACTTGGCTTGTGCTGCAGAACCTGAAGGTGTTATGTGACGAAAGTATGCTTTAATATTGGATTTGTTGTGCACATCACACCACCCTTTTCCAAGAAACGCGATAAACCAAAAGACTCAACAATAGAGGCCATCATGCTTGAAAGCAGGCGGATTGAGACTAGCTGGGCAAAATCTACAGGTCTGACCTTAAAGGTTTGGTTTCGTTGAGCTGGTTTCGCAGTAAAAATACTACTACTAGCCCGCTTTCATAAGGTTTGTGAGTCTAGCACACATTTTCCTTGATTGACGGTAGCGGTAGCACGCATTTACACAAACCTGACCGAAAGTCAGACTGCCCAGTCTCCACTCTTCACTGATTTGTGTGTTCCAGTGGCCTTTTCTATGCATCAGCAGCTGCTTTCAGGAACACTGTGGTGCAGACGGTCTTCGGCATCGGTTTGATGCTGGTGGTAGACACCTGCCTGGCCTCCAAGGCCACCAAGCAGGCAAGGCAACGCTTGGTGCGCGCCATGGACCGGCTGCAACATTATTTGGTGGCTTGCGGAGACAGCCGGATGCAAGCAGAGCAGCTTGAGGCCACGGAACGCCAGAGGACATGAAGAAGCTTTTTTAAACATGCGTGTAGCTTCAAACCACAGTGTGTTGACAATTTCTACCTCAGATTCTCAGATTGATAATCTTGACTCAGCATTTCCTGCCAGGACGGCCTTTGTGAAGGACTTAGACGCCTTGAAGGCTTTGCTTCCACATGCGGCTGCAGAACCCGTCTACTGGTCCAAACCATTTGAACTGGAGCTTTTCACCCAGTTGGAAGTGCCTTGATCTTGCTCAAAGATTGAAGAAACGAATTGAAGAGGGAATCAACGGATCACTGATAGTTCAGTTTATGTGTCCGAACACTCTCAGATTCACCTTTAGAAGCAGCCGGTCTGGATGAACATTTATATAGACTTGTTTGCCAATGGATCCTGCGGACCTCCAAAACTGCGGACCGCCGTCCTTCGCGTGCACTCCTCGACGCTGGACGTGCGCCCGGACGATCCGTTCGACGGTTCAGTGACCCGGACGATGCGTCGAGGCATGCTCGTAACAAGAAGCTCCTAGGAACAAGTGCATCGCTTCTAGTAACAAGT